AAACTCAGAGAGGTTAAATGACATGTGGTAGGTCACACAGCCATCCAGATGCTATACTGCCCCCCTGGCCTTCAGCCTAGGGGTTTGGCAATACCCAGGTGATAAACTAACAACCTTTTTTTATTTGCTTTTGAATTAGAAACATGTCTCCCAACAGTAGAATTAAGGCAAGTTGTTAACACTAATTCCAAAACTTGCTTCTTTACAGCTCCGCTTCTATCACCCCTGATTTGGACCTTTTTTTTTTTTTTTTTTGGCAGAACAACTGCAAAAGATACAAAAATTAGTTGCTGTTGGCTAGCTGGTTTAATTTATTTGCATATATATAATTCAGCTCCACCCCTGGTGGCTAATACCCCCCTGGGGAAGCTGCGGCTGTTTTCTGATTGCTGGTGGGGAGGCCTGTGTGTGCTGTTTTTTAAATAAACTGAAACCAGATGGAGGGGAGTTTTGTTCACGGCCTTGCCTACAATTTTCTCCAGCAAATTCCTTGAAAAGCCAACCACCTATGAGTGGTGCCTGTTCTCCTTGGAGATCTCACCGCTGGTATGCAAATGGAGAGCAGGGTTGGGATTTCTAAAAGTGAAACCAAAGGAGAGGCAGCAGAAGCTTCTTGGGTCAAGGACTTTTGAGAATGTGGGGCCATCCCCTGGTGGAGGACTGCCACTTAGAGTTTGTGTCCTCACTCTCCCCTTCTCCCTAGAGTTGGGGGTTGGGCTCGGTGGGGGGCTGGGAGGGTGGAGTCTTGGGCTGGGCAAAAGTCAGAATCACCCTGACCGACCACATGGTAAAAGGATGGATTCCAGACCAGTGCATTTATTCCCTTTGCAGCGCTAACTGCTGGCATGAGACCCCAGCTCTCCAGATAGGTTGATTTGTGAGTCAGTGGAGGGGTTATCTCCTGAAAGGGGCCCAAGCCACTCTTGCTTCCATCCTGGGAAGACCAGTTGCTCAAGGTGGTTATCGAAATATTTTTAACCACCAGCCAGGTCTAGGGCTTTTGTAATGTCCCTTGAGCACCTCGTTAAGCAATTCCTTGTTCAGAGATGTAGCAAGTGCGCCCACTGGTCACAGTGCCAGGGGGTTAGCATTTTTCTTTGGAATGTGAATTGGGTATTGTCATAGTGAGGTATGACCCAGTCCCCGGGCAGGGGAGAACACTTCTTTCCCAGCTCCAACCTTCATTCCTAGCTCAGAACGCTGTTTTTTTAGATTCTGAGCCTTTTCAGATAATTGTGTCAGGTTACATAAGGTTTCGAGATATGAACACTCAAAGGAAATTCTGCTGGGAACAGGTCTGAGAGGTTCCAGCACATAATTTGCTTTCAAGTATTCGAGGAAAAATTCAGGTGTCTCAGGCCTGCACATTTCTGAAATAAAGTAACAACAGCCAGCAACTTCGCACGCATATACCATTCCCCATAGAAGTGAGTGAGCAAAGACATAGATTTCTTGATGGATGGAAATACCCCTCCCTGGGGAGCGCAGGCAGGGCTGGGTGGAGGTCAGCTGCAAAGAGGAGAGCTTTGACTAGGGGGCCATAGACATTCTTACCAGCCCAAGATACCTCTTACTACCCCTACCCCCACCCCCTGCATCTTTGGTAACACATGTGGTAAATACAGGCCTTCAGTTTTCCAAGAAACATAAAATAAAAGCTGAATTCCTGGCAGAGAAGCTTTAAAAGCTTTAGTTCCTAGGACTCTGTGGGCACATTTTCCACACACCATTATTTTTATTACATTTGCCTCCAAGGGACAGCCCTGCAGCAGCTCGGTTGCATAAGGTGCTGTTTCCAAACACCTTGTCCCCGTAGAGACAGAATAAGTTTTATCTAGGTCCGAGAGTGTTCTGGAGGGGTGACATCGTGTTCCAAGCTGCACTGGTTATAGTCAACAGTGGAAAAGCTGCCAAAACCTTCTCACCAAGGAAGCTGAGAGAATGTACTAAATGCCGAGCAGTACTTCTTTCTTAAAGCACAAAGTAGTCATAAAAACCACTTAACAAGGAAAAATTAATGGGAGGAAAATGTCCTGAGTGTAGCACAAAAAAAAAAAAAAAAAAAAAAAATTGCAAGGGATAAGAAAAAAATAGATTTACTATGTTGAAGGGATGTGGCTATTAATACTGGAAAGTCAATTTTTACACTAAAAATAATTCAACAAGTATCATTTACTTTACAAAAGCTTCACAAAAGAATTCCTATAAGAAGCACTATCCTTTCCTTCCTTCCTTTCCCCTTTCCTTCCTTCCTTCCTTCCTTCCTTCCTTCCTTCCTTCAGCAAACATCTATTGAATGCTTACTGTGTTCTAGGCTCTGTGTTAGGGAAGCCATGGTGAGCTAGATAAACATCGTTCCTCCCCTTGGTCTCTCTGGCCAGCTGGAGGGACAGCTCCTAATCAGATCACTACAGAATCAAGGAGCCGCTGATAGCAGAAACCAGAGTCCCATAGTGCTATGGGAGTAACAGCCTCTTCTATTCTGAGGGTCAGAGAAAGCTTTCCCAGAGGAAGTTATGTTCAAGGTAGCAAGAGCATCAGTGCAAAGGCCCTAGTATAACAGTGAGCCTGGTCCTTCGAGGAAAGGGAGTCCATGAGGCCACAGAGGTCAACCAGAGCCAGGGGGCACAGGAGGTCTTGGAGGCTGCTGTAAGGAGGAGGTTTTGATTCTAATTTCGTGGTACGTGGAAATATTGCTCCCTGGGGGAGCAGGGAGAGTCATGAGGGTTGTAAGCAGGAAGTAAACTAATCAGCTTGGTTTTTTGTTTTTTTTTTTTTTTTGACAGTCACAAGCTGTGAGGAGAATGGACTGATGGGGGTGGGGAGCCCACAGTGGAAGCAGAAAGACCAGTCAGGAGGCCACTGAGCTAGCCAGGGCAAAAAATGCTGGTGGCCATGGGGACAAGCCAAGTAAAATGGGCCAACTCATCCAAGGGTCCATTGGAAAGGGTACTACGACCCAGACAACAAGAGCTGTGGCTGACCACATCCCACCCAGGCTAATTTCACAATTAAGATTTAATTTCATTGGTTGATGAAATGGATAGCATCATTTCCTGGTGGAAAGACCAGCAAGGTCTAGATTATACATCTCAATGTCGACTACCAACTGAACACTTGTGCACATTTTCAAGCCTCATTGTCCTCATGCAGAAGTTATTGGTACCCTCATTTCACAAAAGAGCAAACTGAGAGTCACAGAGGTTAAGAAATTTGCTCAACTGATGACTGGCAGAGCTGAGATTGAAACCCAGGAACTACTGATCTGCCCTCGGACAAGTGACATGGGTCAGGGAGCCCATGCATTCAATGGTTCTCATTAAGGACGGGTTGTTGGTTCAGCACAGGGCAAGGTGAACTGCTTTTTCCCTACCCCAAAGGTCTCTTATGGTGGCGGTTCTAGGAGTCATGTAAACCAGCTTGGAATCCTCACACATGTATGTGGAAGCCCTTAAAATCACAGTTAGACCTTTTCTCCCTCTGGCCTGGGCTCTTCCACCCTGGGCCAACCTGCCTTGCTGGTCAGGGGCACCTGCTCTGGGAAGGAACAAGTCCTGCCTGAGGGGGTGACCTCTGTCCCAGAAAAATGTGTCTCACATTTTCATAGAAATTGGCCAAAAGGGGCAGGAGGAGCTGGAACAACACTCCAAGTAAAGGGAACCCTGTGGGAAAAGCCCTGGGGTGGCAGCAAATGCAGCAAAACCTGTGGGTTCCAGGAGCTGCATAATCCTCAGAGACAGCAGGGAAGAGGAGGTAGATAGGAGCCTGCCAAGCAGGTCCTTGGAAGCCATGCTTTGGTGTTTCAATTCACCCCAAAGGCAAAAGGGACCCCTGGAAGTGTCTTACTCAGGCAACTAATAAGACGATGTTTTCATGTTGAGAAGATTTCTCTGTCAACTGCCTGCCCTGGGAGCAGGCAAATGTTGCCTTCTTTACTAGGTGATGCCCTAGGGAGTGTCAGGTTCTGGACTAGGTACCACACTATGTAGACAGACTCAGGAAGAACATGATCAAACTACCTGTGCTTTTAAAAACCAGACTTGGCCAGAGGGAGTCCTTTTCTCAGAGAGCCTGGCCTTGAAGATTTGGAAGACAGAGGTTCTTCCTGTGTTTTGATAAAGCCTGAGCTCAGGGAGAGTCCGTTTCCAGGGTGCCCAAGGAGAAAGGGAGAAGGGGGCTTTCAGGAAAGCCAGGTCCAGCAGCGAGGTCCCCAAGGCTAGGGAAGGGAAGAGTCTTCAGGCCCTGCAACCAGGGAGGCAGGCACCTGTCCCCTGGCAATCTTGGGGCAGCAGGCATGCCCCCTTAGAACCCAAACCTAAAAGTCCTTGGGTTGGGACAATGGCTGTGATCTCAGTACCAGAGAGGACCAAGCGTGCTTCTCAGGCTGCAATTGCGGGAGATCCCGAGTCCTTGGAATAACCTGAGTAAGAGGAGCACGTTAGATACCAAGACCGAATGTCCCGCCAGCCTGGAAGATGGGGGCTCCCAGTAGGATTTCTGCTTGATTTAAAGGAAATATAGAAAGGAGATATTTTGTGCTACATGCTTTCTTTTATACTTCACACTTTATATTATGAGGAAACCTGCATATTTGTTTGTGTATTTGTTGATACCTGTCTTTCCTTTAGCCTGTAATCTCCCTGAGGGGCAGGGATCTCGTGTTCCCACGGTATTCCCAGTGTCCAGCACATACTCATTAAAGTGTGCAGGCTGACTGGGGTGTCTTCCAGACAGTGGTAGTCTCAAGGGAGAAACTGAAGGCGGGCACGTTTGGGACAAGTCAGGATTTCGAGAAGACAGCTGTGGAATGAGGATGGGGGGCAAGTGGGTTTTCGAGTACAATTGTTGAAAGGGAATGGGGAACGTGGCGGCCGGGGTGACAGGGGTCCCTGGTGAGCCCCGCCCCGAGCCTTGGTGCCGGTGCGAAGTGACGCAGCGCGGTTTGGCCGCTGTGGGGCGCCGTAGCCCGCGCCGTTGCCAGGGGAACGGGCCCAGCTCCTGAAGAGTTTCATCCCGCCTCGGCCTGGCCGGTGCCGTACAGCCTGCCCGCTACAGCCGGTACACTAGGACTTGCCGGCCCAGCCTCCGTCGCGCGGCCCGGAATGGGACCCCGCTCCGGGCTGCGCCGCCGCCTGGTCCCGGGGACCGTCTCCATTGTGAGGGTCTGAAGTGCCGCCACCGTGGGAGGTGGACCGCCAGGCGAGGGGGCTGAATTACTGGGCGACCTTGGCAGGGCCGATCTGGCTCGGTCGACGCGACGCGCAGGTGAGGAGCCCCCATCGCTGTTCTCACCTCGAAGCCTGGCCTGAGCCACGGGGTTGTGGCTGCCGCCGCCCGGCTGTGCTCTGCCCTCCCCTCGGCCTGGAGCCCGCGGCCTGGGTTCCAAGGGACCGGGCAGAACGCGGGGCTCCTTCTAGTATTCATCAGGTTCACATATCTGCATTGAGCGCCTACTGTGTGCCAGGGACGGGCCACAGAGGAGTCCAAGAAACGGCACGATCTCCAGAAGCCTCAGAATATTAAGGGGGGTGGGGTGGGCAGGCTCCAGATGGATGACTGAAGTGATTTTCGGTCGAGATAAGTGCTCCGGTGACGTAATGGAGGGGGCAGGGGTGGTGGTCTGGCAGAGGTCACTTTGAAGCTAAGACCTGAAGGTTGAAAGGAGCCAGCCTGCATTGTTAGTAGGGAAAGAGTGTTTCTGGAAGAGAGAAAAGCAAATGCAAAGGCAGCAAAGTATTAACTATTAAGGAACAGAAAGGATGAGGGGAGCACTGAAGGATGTGATGGAGATTTCAACTTTATCCTAGCAGGAGGAGGAAACCGTTGAAAAGTTTTGATGAGTTTGAAATTTTGAAAACCTCACCTTCTTCTGGCTGCTGTGGACAGTGTCATAATCACAGGGCACACCAGCAAGTCAGCTGAGGGCCATCTTGATTCTGCCAGTCTAGCTGTGTCTCCTAGAACTTGGTCTCTCTGAGCCTTAGGGTCTTCATCTGTGAAAGGCGGATGCTGTTCTGCATGTTGTTTCTGAGAGAGAAAGTGAGGGACCAGTCCGTCTGAAACCAATGACAGAGGAGGTCTATGGGAAGTTTGAAATAACAGGACCTACCTACCTCAGAGAGCTGTGAGGGTTTATAAGTGAATTCTTTTTTATTTTTTATTTATTTTTATTTTTTTATTTCTAGGAGAGAGAGAGAGAGAGAGAGAGACAGTGTGAGCAGCAGAGGGTCAGAGAGAGAGGGAGTCACAGACTGAAACAGGCTCCAGGCTCTGAGCTGGCTGTCAGCACAGAGCCCGATGCGGGGCTCGAACCCACAAACCGCGAGATCATGACCTAAGCAAAAATGGACGCTTAACCGACTAAGCCACCCAGGCGCCCCAAGTGAATTCTGTTAAAGCACTTAAAGTAGTGCCTGGCACAGGAAAAGTTACCTCTAAATGGCCATTATTACGGAGACACTACAGGGGAGTAATGATGGTGGGTTGGATTAGGGTGATGGCAGCAGAGCCAGTAAGAAGTGGTTTAGTTTCTCTTATTGAAGGAGAGCTGGATTTAGAGATAGGTGTGGGGTGGTCTCAGCTTTTGTGGAACTGGTGGTTCACCATGGGAGATGGGTTTGTGAGCAGATAATCACCATGAACTGCAATAAAAGCACCACTGGTGCTTAATTAGGTTTTTTCTTTTGTTTTTCTTACTTTGTTTTGTCACAACTTTGTTCTTAACTACGGTTTCTTGGTGGGTGTTCCCCCAGGCTTGCTCCTACAATCATGTGAGTTGATTTCCTGGTTAAAATCAACAACCCTTGGCTCCTCTCATTGGCTTTGTTTTCGCTCCATTGTTGTTCCCTCCTTCTTGTCTCCTTTCCCTGACTAACCTTGAATCCCGAACAGTTTGCAGTGGTTGCTTCATGAGGAGAATGGCATAGAAAATGTTTGCAGACCACATCAGCTCGGGAATGAGTGAGATTTCAGGCTTGGTCTGGCATCAGACTTCTGCACGTTGTTGACGTGAAAAGCCCAGCCACATCTGAGACCAGTGACTGGACAGGTCTATGAGAAGAGCTTGAAGTTCCAACTCAATTGTCATGGTGTGCATCTCTTAGTCAAACTAGAGCCACTTCCCAGAATTTTAAGGCCAGAGACTTTTCTGGCACCTGTAGGGAATTTTGAATAAAGTATTTGCCCCAAAACTTCTTTTATAATGACTTTTTGCACTATAAAACAGTGTGGACCATGCAACCTTTTTCCCCCAGCCTCTGTTTAGGTTTAAATTGGACATCTGTTAAATCTTAGTGAAAATTACTTTCTTTTATTTAAATTTTTTGAGTTTATTTATTTATTTTGAGAGAGAGAGAGAGAGAGAGAGAGAAAATCCCAAGCAGGCTCCATGCTGTCAGCACAGAGCCCACACAGGGTTCGAACCCATGAACCATGAGATCACAACTGGAGGTGAAATCAACTGAGCCACCCAAGCATGCTTGGTGAAGATTATTTTAGAAGTAGATGCAAGGGGGGCGCCTGAGTGGCTCAGTCAGTTAAGCATCCAACTTTGGCTCAGGTCATGATCTCGTGGTTCATGGGTTCAAGCCCTGCGTCGAGCTCTGGGCTGACAGCCAGCTCAGAGCCTGGAGCCTGTTTCAGATTCTGTGTCTCCCTCTCTCTCTGACCCTCCCCTGCTCACACTGTCTCTGTCTCTCTCTCAAAAGCAGATGCAAGGAAACATTGTTTAGAAATATCCATAGAGGGACGCCTGGATGGCTCAGTCAGTTAAGCATATAACTTTTGATCTCAGCTTAGGTCTTGATCTCAGCTCAGGTCTTGATCTCAGGGTTGTGTGCTCAAGTCCTGCAAGAAAGGAAAAGAAATATCCATAGAAAATAATTCAGGTGGTAACTATAAATCCTCTAGCTTTTCTTAGCAAACAGAAAAGATGGTTGTGAGCAAAACCATTTTGCTGTGTGCATCTTCCCTTTGGGTTCTGGAGTCATAGGAAGCTGAGCTGGCCTTTGGCTGAGGACTGGAACAAAGTCCTGCCCAGCAACTCCTCTGTTGTGCTGCCTGGTGGTCGGATTCCAGCTTTGACAAGACCCCCAACAGCGCCTGGGGGGCTCTATGGTTCTTCCTCACAGCTCTGCAGCTGAGTGATTCAGAATTGCTTTCAAAGAATGAAGAAGCGCTGAAATAAAACTGAGCACTCTTTTTGCATGGTCGTTAGGTGGGATTTCCTTGTCTGTCAGGTGTGGTACAGGGCTCGGAAACCCACAAGCACATTTGGTCTATATGGCAGCCCAGTGGGCCAGGAAGGTAAGAGGTGACAACCCTTAATTATTTATTTGACATTTTTTTAAAGCATTGCATATATATTGTAAACAAAATCAAACACTGCACAGTTAAAGCTAATCTCTTTCACCGCAGCCACTAGATCTTCCCCAGAGGCTGTCCTTGTGTTTGCCTTCTTGTATTTCTTTCCAGAGAGAATCTGTACAAATAGGAACATACCCATCCCCTGGATTCCATGCTCTACAACTGCCCACATCTTGCTTTTTCACTTCACTGTGTATCAAAGGTCATTTCATCCCTCATTGTTTTGATATTGTATAGCATTTAATTGTGTGACTGGGCCATACTTTGTTTATCTTGTTTTTTGTTCTTTATTATTGCAAACAAGACTGCGGTGAATCTTTGTGTACTTTGTGACTATATGTATAAGATAAATACTTAGAAATGGAAAGACTGGACCCAAGGGTGTATGTGTTCTAAGGTTTGGTAGATATTGCCAAATTGCCTTCCAGTTACCTTTTTTTTTTTTTAAGTGGGCTCGAACTCATAACTCCAAGACCCAAGAGTTGCATGCTCTAGTGATTGAGTCAGCCAGGCACCCCGCAGCTAACTTTTTTGAAAGCTGAGTAAAGGAGACACCCAAAGACATGCCTCTGAAATTTTGGCTCTGGGTCACCTGATCTGAGTGGCAGCGCGGGAGTCAGAACTAGGCTCTGTTTCCAGGCCTCACGCTCTTGCCTCACTCCAATCTGCTTCTCTCTGTTGGTGGCTCAGGTCTCCAGGCCCTCAATCCCCTGCGAAGAGCCCTGTCGCTTCTTCTCTAACCCCATCATTCTACCCTGCCGGTTCAGTGGCCTCCTCCTACAAAGCCTCTTTAGTAATGAAATTGATTCTTTTCTGAAATCCTCAAATATTTTGCAGGAAGACAGGGATGCCCACAGCGTCTCTAGGGCCAATACTTTTCACTTCAGTCTGGTTGTTTTGACAACGCCATTCATAAATCTTAGAAAACATTTCTAAATATTTTTTTGGTGGGAGCAGAGGAGAGCAAGAGGGAAGTGGATCAGTCACATAACTATTCTACAGTTCATAATGAGAACTTGAAATGTTGACTTCCCTCATTTAAATTAGGCATATAAATTAAAGTAGCCTAGCTTTCTTTTGAGAATGCTGTTTTAGGGTTTTATCAAGGGAATGTTAACAGGAAGAGATTATTGTCATTTTGGCAATGACTTTACCTTATTGGGACAAGGGAGGGGTCTGTTCAGCCCCTCTAGCCCACTTCAGAAGCTAGGTGGTTCCTTGGCTTACCCAAGGTGACCTTTACCAAAAGGTGGCGACCTTCAGCCTTAACACTCCTTGGGGCCTCCTTGCTCTGGTCTTTTCTCCATTTCCACCAATTTAACTCTGTGGTTTGTTCTGTGGCAGCAGAAGGTACATGAAGATTCTTTTACCAAGGCACACGTACCTCCCAGCTCACCAGAGATGCAGCTGGAGGCATTGGGTGGTTTTGGGGACCTTGTGGGCTTGACCTCCATCTCCTGACTGATTCTTCCAAAAGCACAAGGCTGCTGGGTGCTGCCCTCCCTGGGCCAGCCTAATGTTGTGTCACCTTTCCACTCTTGTTCATGTCCTCTTCCCTACTGGGACTAGAAGAAAGCTTTCTAAAATGCCCACCATCTTTCTGTCATTCCCCTGCTTTAAACTTCCTGTGACTCGTGGTGGGTTTTTCAGTAGTAGCCAGATTTCCTTGCCTGGCCTCCCCTGGGATCTGACCCTGCAGCTCCTCAGGGCTCATCTCCCTCTCTAGATTTCCCCCTCTCTGCACCCTGGGTTCTGTCACTCTGAATGGCTCACCCTTGTAGGACTCATTCACCCACTGCCCTCATGTCTGTCTGGGCCCCCAGAAAGCAAGGCCCTGAAGGCAGGAGCCTGGTCTCATCTGTGTTTATGTCTTTAGTGCACACAGGGGCTGGGCCCCAAAAGTGCTGACTGGGCCAAGGTGTAAATGCACAGGTTGACCAAGCTGTCCGGGAGCAGAGCCATGAATCTTTCAGTCTGGTCTTCTAGAGAAGTGCTGAGAGGGGACGGATAGCCAGAGAAGTTCCTGGGTCTGATGACAGTGCTTGAACCCATCCCTGCCTGAGGCCCCATCTTGGATTCTCTCCTACCTCCCAGGCCTTTTAATCAAAGCCTTTGGGGCCAGAAGAATTTGTAGCCACTGACCCCACAAGAGAAAAATGTCATCAGTTAAGAGCTGGCTGGCCCAGGTTTCCAGGGCAGGTGGCATGCCCCCTGGCCAGCTTGGGTGTCTGCTCTGGGGTGCTGCCATTGCTGTACAGGACTCACCCAACAGCACCATCCCCCTGCCCTCATATGAGGGGCACCTCCCTGGGCCAGTGGTCCCCGGCTTTGGAGTCAGAGCCCCCCAAGGCCTCAGATGATGAGTCCTCCCGCTATAGGTATTAGGGTGACAGCAGCACTGGGGGCGCCTGTGACCACTGTCAGCCCACTCTGGGCAGTGGGGATATGTCAGCCATGTGCCTCTGCTGCTTTCTTTAAAAACTTCCTCAAGGTGTAGGGCTGCACAGGTGTGAAGATGACAAAAGGAAAGGTAGAACTTGGGAAACCCAGTTTGTGAGCTCCCTTCAAAGTAGTTGCCCTGGTGATGGTGTCACTGGAGAACGGGTGTGCAAGCCACAGGGATTCACCCCTGAGCAGAACCACCCAGCTCAACTGCATTCACAGGGCTTCACCTGATGACCTTTGACTTTCCAAAAATCAAGGACAGATTTGCTACCTATGGGGACATTGAAAATAAAGTGGTGCCCACTTTTTTTTTTTTTTTAATTACCATTGTCCCTTTGATCAAAGGTGAGATGGTTAGAATGACCATCCAGTGGCTGAGCTCTTATGACAACATGTTCCTTGAGGCCACTGGTTTAAGAAAGCAGCTTCAACCAAAGTCATTACTTTGGAAATTAACCTTGTAGAATATCAGATGCAGCAGCCTCCCTTTGGAGAGATCGGGAGAATCCACAGAGCTATTTTAAGGGAAATTATAATAGCTATCATTTAGGAAGCATTTATGTGTCAGGGCTTTACTTACAGTGTTGCTGATCTATACACAGCCCTAGGTAGCCATCCCTACCCCCATTTTTTAGATGAAGAAACTCAAGCCACTCAGCTAGTAAGTGCAGAGCCAGGATTTGAACCTAAATCTGTTTCCTCCAAAGCTGGGGCTCTCTTTTCACCTTTCGCTGTTTCTTTTTGAAGACAAAGCAAATGACCAAGGGATTCCAGCTGAGTCCCTTGGAGAAAACTAAGGTCATTCCATTTAGCTTTGACATGAGGCTACTCAGAGATGAATATGGCGGGCTCGGCTTACAGGAGGCTCTGCTTCGGGTGGGATGAAGGGCAGTGGCTAAGTGCAAATGTCCGGCAGTCAGGATAATAATAGCCCATGGCAGGGGGAGCTGGGGCAGCAGGTGTGTCTCTGCATGGTGGCTGTGCAGATTGAAGGCAAGGCAGAGCAGGCTAGATGGCTCTGGGTGAACCAGGATTCCACACATTTACCGCACCCACATTTCCTTTTATTTCAGATGATTTCAAGTCAGCAAACATTTACTGAGCACTTACTATGTACAAGGTATGTTGTGGGTGCTTGGGGGAGGGCATGTGGGGAGCCGGGGTAAATGAATCACACTACAGTTGCTACCCTTAGGGGAAATTGGTATAATGGGGCAGACATGGGGATGACACAGGGTTCCAAGTGGCAAAGTGACTTGCCCATTAAAGACTGAACATGAGGGCCCACTGACTCTGCTTGAGGCATCAGGGAAAGAAAGCTTCCTGGATTAGGTGATACTTAAAAAGTGGGCGCTGAAGGCCGATCACATTTTGTTGGGCCAAGATGTGAGGAAGGTGTTCTGGACAGATATGCTGAGGGGGAATCTGCTGTACTTTCTGGCAGAGTCAGACTCCTTGGCCCATGGGCATGGGCTCCTGAAAGGAGAGTCCAGCTGCCAGGGTTTTGTCCCCTGCTCCTGGCCACCCCACCAGGAGCTCTGAGTTGGCCTGTCTCTCCAGGTGTGGCGCCGCCCGCCCAGGCTCTAGTCCTGGCTCAGACCCAGAGGATGCTGGAGGTGGGGCTCTTCCTCCTGTAATGACAGCACACCCTGCCTGCCTCGCTTGTGATTTTGGCCACTGGGCCAGGTCTTAGACTAAAGAATGGTGGGGTGGGGGTGGGGGAGTGCTGCCACCTGGTGGTCTGGCTCTGGAGGAGGAGAGCCCTGAGCTCTCAAGTGAGTCAAAGGGCATCAGCCCACTTCTCTGTTCTAGAATTTACCTAGAGAAACATGGTCATTTCTGCTGCTGGTGAGAAGCAAGGAGGGATCCTTCCTTCTCTCTTGTATGCTGGCCCCTCGCCAGCCAAGAAGTCTCAGGCTTTCTGAGGCACAGGGGAGATGGTTTAAGGTCCCTCCCCTCCCCTCTCCTAAAGGGATTACCTGCTGGCCCAGGGGCAGACGCCAGACCCCCTTCTGAGCACCCCTAGTCCCTGTTTCCCCTAGCGAAGAATAAGGAGGCCCTCTCTGACACTTGCATTTGGGCCTCAGGACAGAGGTGACTAACAGAATCAGCATGTGTTCTCAGTGCTCTGGCCCCAGCCTGATATTGTTACCAGATGAGAACATGTCTTACTGAGTTTAACTCTGATGGCTGTGGAAACAGAGCATTTTGAGTAACAGGAAGGCAGCCACACCGTGTCCTGAATAAACCCCCGACCCTCCTACCTTGTCCTGGCCAGGGCTAGGGCCAGAGCTTGCTCTGGGGCTTTGAGAAGCGCTCCACTACCACCTTCCCCCATGGCCTGCCTTCATCATGCTAGGACCCCAGTTCTTCTGCAGAGTAGCTGGGAGATGACTTCACATCCCAGCCTGCTCCCCGCATGGGGCTCTGGGCTCCAGCCCCGGCCTCCTTAGGCTAATGTTCTCTCTACTTTTTCTTCCTCTGGAGATGAATGTCTGCAACAAGCCCTCCAACAAGACAGCCCCTGAGAAGAGTGTGTGGACGGCACCTGCGCAGGCCAGCAGACCCTCCCTGGAGCTGCAGGGCCAGCGGTCCCGCCGGAATGGGTGGAGCTGGCCCCCTCACCCGCTCCAGATTGTGGCTTGGCTGCTGTACCTCTTCTTCGCTGTGATTGGCTTTGGGGTCCTTGTTCCCCTCCTGCCTCACCACTGGGTGCCCGCTGGCTACGCTGTATCCTTGGGAAAGTCTGGGACCAGTACATGGAAGAGTTGGGGTGGTGGATGGAGGGACAAGTCAGAGGCCTGAAGCTGGGGTCCAGAGCCTCACAGAGTGCAGGCAGGCCCTCGCCTCCCTGCCTGGTTTCCAACCCCCATCTGACCCCTTTGCCTGATGGGGTGAGCAGATGGACTAACATACCTTGGAGCATTTAAAGCCCACACAGCTGTGAACCTTGTCGACCGAGGTAGCCCAAGAGTGATCACAGAAGAGAGCCTTAAAGTTCATTGTGTCCAGAGCTTGACAAGGGATAGAGAGTAACTATTCCATTTACAAAAGAATCTTTCACTTTTCAAAAAGAGTCATGGTAGAATTCTTTTACATAGTAAGTTTCCTGGTATGTTTAAAATGTGGTTTTATGTACAGTCAGATAATTATGCTGTACCCAGGACTGTTTAGGAGCTCATCGGTTTTGTAAACCAGACTCTTAGCGCGAGGTTGAGTTGACAAGAGGAGGGATGAAGATGCCCTGGAGGCTCACGGGAACAGTCACAAACACAAACTTGCATGAGCCTAGTGGTATGACTGCCCCAGCGTTGGCCACAACCCCCAGGAGCCCAGGACTTGGCTGCAAGGCTGGGAGATTGGGGTGCAACAGGTGGCTATGGGCGCCTGTCCAGAGGGCACCCAGGAGAGTGCCCTGCTGTGTATTCTTCATGAAAATGATTTCTTGGGCTTCCTGGGGGAGGAGGGCTAGGGTGAGCTACAGGATGTTAGCGGAGATGAACTTGGCAGCTCTGGCGAAAAGAGTCAGCAGCTAAGGCTGGTCACAGCTCAACCCTTCAGGGGTTGGACAAGGCTAAGCAGCTTCGGCTGGCTCTCCAGTTCTTGGTCTCCGCTGTCTGACAGGAGTCCTGCCTGCTTCGCAGAGGACAAGGAGCACCAAGCGTGTGTGTATGAGCACCAGAAAGGGTGAGCCAGAAGTGTGAGTGTGTTTTCTTGGGAAACCACAGAGCCCTCAGCTGGTGAGTGACAAGGGCAAATGTGTAGAGAAGGACTGTAGAGAAGGTTGTTGTCCTCAGACATCAGCAATATCGCTGGGGCGCTTCCTGGGTCACTGGGACCCAGGGCCTAGTCATCAGCTCTATAAATGGAGCGCTGGACTTTCCCTGAGGGGACCAACGGGCCTTAGTCCTTAGTCAGTGCCCTTAAGTAGAATGCTTCGTGAAACATTCCTGCCATGATCTGGAATGGGCACACCCCTCACTCGGGATTATCTGGCCTTCTACCACCAAGGGTACCTGGGAAGCCAGATTAATAACCACATGGTTGCAGTGAGTATAGTCAGAGCAAAAAACAGTAAACAAGAATAACTAGCATTCATTGACCATGCCGGCACTGTATGTGGATCATTCAGTCCTTATAATAATCTGTAAGGAAGGTGTTCTCACTTTACTAATGAAGAAGTTGGGGCTCAGAGAGATTAAGTGACTTCCCGAGGTCACACAGCTGATACCCACTGAGACAAGAAGGGCTGCTTAGGCAACCTGCCTCTGAGGCAGTGGGACGATGAAAGGGTTTTGTCCTCTCCACATTCATTGCTTTGGGCAATGTGGAGGCTCACAGAGCCACCTGGATAGGCACTCCCACTTCTAGGCCTGGATGCTTCTGTTTCCTTCCATCAAAGCCACCTTCCTTCTGCAAACTTCCTCAGGGCCCCTGAGGAATGAGGTAGGGTAATGGTATGTACCAAGTACTTACCTTGGGCTTGGAACTGGCCTGGGCCCTACAGTTGCAAAGATGAGTAAGATAGGTCCCCAGCCCTGGGGTGCTCAGCCTCCCCCTGGGGTAAAGCCTTGTAGGTTAGAGATCATCACATGGTAGGTGTGAGGGTAGGAGCCATACGACAGGTTATGGGTGTAGGAGGAGGGCTGTCTAGACCAACACCACCGTGGGCCCAGATGCACACCTGCTGATGCCCATTCTCCTCTGTGGTCACCTTTCCGGGTACTCTGGCTCTGCCCCTTTCCTTCATCACCTGTATGCAGTCAGTCGTCAAGTCCTGTTGACATTAGCTCCTAAATAGCTATCAAGCTTGCCCTCATTCCTCCCCACTGCCATCTGCCTGTCTTACCTAGATGACTGTTTCGTTTCCACACGCTCTTGGGCCAATCCATGTGTGTCCACCTATGTTCCTGCAGCAGAGTGCCCTTTCAGGGTCCAAACGGATAAAGTTGGTCTCCAACTTAACATCCCATAATGGCTTCTTCCTGCTTTAAGAAATGATGTTCAAGATCCTCAGGGCTCTCCACATTCTGGGTTCCGCCCGCCTCCCCAGCCTCTTATACTATTTACTCTGACACCACTGGTCTCTGGCTGGAAGGCTCTTGACTCTCTCTCTACCCCAACACCCAGCTAAGTCAGAAGTCCAGAACTGGCAGCCCATGGGCCTGTTTGGTCTACAGATTTTCTTTTCTTTCTTTCTTTTTTTTTTTTTCTTTTTAAGTAGGCTCTATGCCCAGCATGAACTCATGACCCCAAGATAAAGAGTCACACGCTCAACCAACTGAGTCACCCAGGCACTCGATTTTCTTTTTCAATTGGGGGACAATTAACACACAAAATGGACAGTCTTAAATGTTCCTTTAGTAGGTATATTTTAAGAATTATTTATTTCCCGTCAACATTTAAAAAATGAGACCTCACATAAAAATCCAGGTTTTTAGTTCCTTTTGAAAAGCCAGAATATGGTGACATGTGGCCTTATTCTAGCTTGGCAGCAATGAGCTGAGCTGGAACCACACATCAGCCATCCCTCTGGCTGGGACTCTGCTTGCTCCCAGTACCCAGCCAAGCCCCTCCTGTCTGCATTACCTACCAGGTGCCTATTAGCTGTTCCTCTCCATGTCTCAGCTGAGATGATACTTCCTCAGGGCAGCTTCCTGGATCCCTTCAGACTAGATGAGGTTGCCCAGTTGTAAATTCACACAGTCCCATGAACTTCTTTCATTGTAATCAATCCATTATTTGATTAACATATGTGTTTCCCATCAGACTGTAAGCTCCTTGGGGCGAGGGACCAAGTCTGTCTTGCTCCTGCCATTGCCCTCAGGGTTTGGCGCAGAGAAAGACCTGAGTCAACAGTCAAATGAATGAACCCGGGGGCTGGGGTGGGAGAAGTGTTGGAGCAGATGGAAAATCAAATGTTTGCCCACATTCAGGGTGTCTGAAGAGAGGCTGAAATGGTGAGGGGTAGTGGTTGGTGACATCAGACAGGTGTGACAGGAGCAAGAGAAGCCTTGACACTGAACTGAACAGTAAACTTTAACTTGAGAGCCATTGAGAACCAGTGTAACAACTGAAGCAGACAAGGCTTTATTTAAGCTTTTCAGTGCTCACTTTGGGCTCAAGGGCACCCCGGCAGGAGGAACAGAGTCAGGAGACTATGGAATAACCCAGGGAAGAAGCAAAGGCCCGACCTATAGCCAGGGCTGTATGGCCTTCGTGGGCTATGGCACCGTGGTCAGCTGTGGTCTAGCACATGAGGGCGGAGCCTGGCTCACGCGGGAAGTTTGGCCACTGGGAGGAGGAGGAAGAAGGATGAAGGAGGACAGGCAGCTGATTTATGGAGGAGGAATGATGGAGGGATCTGATGACGGCCTAGTCAGCAAGAGGATGGGTGGAGGGAGGGAGGGCGGATGGCTGCCTGGAATCTATTGGTGAATTTTCACAAATTTAGACTTTGCAGCAAGTTGGCAACATACTCACTCCCTGCATTTGTTCTGATCACTGAGCAGATAGGTCCTGGATGATCTGTATTTCAGCTCCAGGAATTAGCCAGGCTGCCCGTGGCCAGGCTCTGACTATGTTAGTCAGGGAGGTGGTGGGTATATGAGACCCTGTCTACAAGTGATTCTCCATCTGGCCCAGCTGATGACAAAGGATGGCTGTCTCTCATATCTGACTTCCTATGAAGGCAAGAGAAACAAACTTAGAACTTATATTCTGGGTCCTTGGACCTTAGAGGATAATCTCTTTCAGTCTCACTTCACCATTTAGAATCTGAAACCAGATCAGATACCAAGGTCAAACCAGCCTATGGCCTGTGCCGGGACTGGATCAGTGAGGCCATTGGGCTACTCAGCGACAGTAGGCAGTGCCTTGTGATTCCTCTCTTCCATCTGGGGCATGGGTATGCTGAAGAGGTCTGACAGGGAAACTCTTGTGGGGCTGGAGGTAAGAAGTGGCACAGGCAGAGAGTCTCTGCATGAAGGAGTCACGTGGAGGTGGAGAGCTGTTACCTGGCCCTGGAAAGTGGGGAAGTGGGGCTTCCAGCCAGCAAAGTGTGCAGTGAGTCTTTAACCTTCTGGGCCAGTGCATGGGTGCCATCTTTGCTGGCCACCTTGTGGTTCACCTGACTGCTGTCTCCATCGATCCAGCAGATGCCAATGTGCGGGACAAGAGCTATGCAGGGCCCCTGCCCATTTTCAACCGCAGTCAACACGCACATGTCATTGAAGACTTGCATTGCAACTTGTGCGACGTAGATGTGTGAGTGAGTGTGGACTGAGGGTGTGTGGGGGTGGTGATTGTGCCCCCGGGACTGCCAGTGGACATTGAAGGCAGAGAGGGGCATGCCCAGAGCTTTATAGTTATCCTGATGCCTCAGAACCCTCGTGTTTTACACAGTCAAGAATCTTGACAGAGTGACAGAGAATTGGGTGAAGGAGGAGATTGGAAACAGAAGATGAGGAATGGCATTTCCAGCAGTTACAGAAGGAGACATTTGGCACTGCCACAGACTTTTCTACTGACTGACTCTGCCAGTGACCCTCCTACCCCTATCTCTCACAAGTTTTCCCAGATAGGGGCGGCAAGGGGAACTAATGCTTGAGGACTTATTATGTGCTAAGTGCTTATGAGTAACCCTGCAGGGTGGGCAGCATCTCTCTCACCTCACAGAAGGGGAAGAACCCAAGGCTCCCACACAACCTATGCCTGAGGTCATATGGCTATTGGGTAGCAGAGCCAGATTCACAACCCAGCCTACCTGGCTTCTGTTATCTGTCCTCAGTTACCCATGAGGAATCTGAAGCCCAGAGAGGCCAAGTGACTTACTCCAGATCACACTGCTAGTGGGAAGGGCAGTCAGAATTTGCAGAGACCATATCCCCTTGGCTGTTCCTGACTGCCTCCCTAGGTCCCTCCCTCCCCTCCTGAAGTGTCCAGCCTCAGGCAGGGGTTTGGGAATGGGCGAATGGTCCAAGGCTAGCTCTACATTTCTAATTTTAACATCCAGCAGCCTGCTGAAGGGGATATGTCCACAGGACAAAGAAAGAGCCGATGGCATTAATGCACTGAGGAGTTTGGTGTCTGATCATCCTTTCCTTCACTAGGCACCAGTCAGCACATTGTTCTTAAGTGGATGCTGTGGCAATGGCTGCCCACTCTGTTCTCTTCTGGGGAAGGGGTTGCAGCTCACTCTCACACACCCCTTTGGGCTTGCATTCCTAATGTGGCCTCACCTCCTCTGACCCCCTGCAGCAAACTGCTGTTCACCCAGATGTCAGCTTGCTTCTCTTCCTTTGTCCCCCTTTGGGTTAGCCTAGACAGACTGAGGTTTTCTAGAAGAATGCCAGTAAAATCCCCACAGACTGGCAGGGAAATAGGGACTCAAAAAATGGAGATGTCAGAAAAGCAATGCAGGCCCTGGACCCAGCAGCCTTGCTCTCTTCTGCTCCCTGGTCCCACAGCTGCATCATGTCCCGGCTTGGTGCAGGGTCCTTGCTTGGAAAGGAAGCCCCGTTTCCGTTTCATACCGCCGTCACGCAGGTGCGCAATCCCATAGTGGGCAAGTGTAATGCCTCCCAACCCCCTATCCCGCCTCTGGGTCCTTTGGCTCTTCAGAAGCCAGACCGCCTGTGGGGGCTCTGCTTCGTAGTGCCACCAGAGGGCGTGCGCGCTCCCCGTCAGCGCTTCCAGGTTCTGGCAGAGTGTCGTGTGGGTAACGCGCGCCTGGCCCGGCGTTCCGGTCCTTCGGCCGCCGCCGACTCCGTTGCCCCAGCCAGGCTGGAGGCGAAGCGCGGGAAACGCAAGCCGACCGCCTTGTGCCCCTCCACTCCCTCCCGCAGGAGCGCTCGCTCCAAGCACTGCAGCGCCTGCAACAAGTGCGTGTGCGGTTTCGACCACCACTGCAAGTGGCTCAACAACTGCGTGGGCGAGAGGAACTACAGGTGAGAGCGCGGCACGGGCCTCAAGGGTGCCTGCGGATGCACGGGTCCGAATGTGAGTCAGGAATCCTGAGCCTGCATATGAGGTGGGGCAGGAGTGGGTGCTTGGTGGACCTGTGCGCTGGTGTGCATTACTGTGTTGGTCTGAGGGTGATGCATCTGATGGCTGCCGCCTGGGGCTGCTGAGGGTAGGTTTGGGGGCTTCCTCCTGTGGGTCCAGAGAATGGTGGGAAGCCTGCGGGGGTGGCCGCCCAAACTGATCTTTGCCCTGTCATTGACTTTGTGAGGAGTTGGGGCTGTGGGGTCAGAGGCCTGGCTCCCCTCCCAACCAGGGGCCCTCCTGAGTTCTGGGCCCTTATCCAGCTGGAGCACCTGGGTGCTGACAGCTGCCCACGGCTGGGCCCAGGCTCTTTCTACACAGTGTGGCATCTGCTTTACTGGGTGTCCTGCTCCTCGTGCTGGTGGCCACTTATGTCTTTGTGGAGTTCTTTGTCAACCCCATGCGGCTGCGCACCAATCGCCATTTTGAAGGTCAGTCCCAGCTGCAGGCCCATTCCCACCCTCCAACCCTGGGCCTGTTCTAGTCATTGGTCACAGCCCGGATGAGCAGTCTGCCTGTGCCTTGCAGTCCTGAAGAATCACACAGATGTGTGGTTCGTGTTCCTGCCCGCTGCCCCTGTGGAGACCCAGGCTCCTGCCATCCTGGCCCTGGCTGCCCTACTCATCCTTCTGGGCCTGCTTTCCACAGCCCTGCTTGGTCACCTGCTCTGCTTCCACATTTATCTCAGTAAGTCCCCCACCCCCCACTCACATACACCTACACCTGCCTTGCAGCGGATAGGGGTCCCTAGGCTGCAGGGAAGTACCCTGCAGCCATGCTCCTTTTTCAGTATTGGCTTTCCATGGTGGCCTGGTCTCACTTAATGGATTAGTGTATATGGGGACAGTAGTTTCAGCCTGGGGCTGGGTACCCTTCCTTACTTTCTGAACTCTAGGATCCCCTTTCCCCTGCACTGAGCCCTCTCCTCACCCCCTCAGTGTGGCACAAGCTCACCACCTATGAGTACATCGTGCAGCATCGCCTGCCACAGGAGGCAAAGGGGGCCCACAGGGAGCTCGAGTCATGTCCCCCCAAGATGCGACCCATTCAGGTATAGAAGTGGCCCAGAGGGCTGAGGGGTTGGGAGATGGGGCCTGGGTGTGGGAGGGGTGGTGGGCTGTGCAGCAAGCAGCAATGATGAGACAGGGCAAAGGGAAGCAGGCCTGGAATCACAGTTGGAGTAGGGGAGCAGCTGGAGGCAAGAGGGGCAAGGCCAAGCCTATACTAAACACGTGTCCGCTTGCTCAAACGTGGGCACAGCCAGAAGGAGTCCCGTGTTTTCCCAACCCAATGTACATGCCTGTCTGGGCTCCAAGCATGTGCTGGATGACATGGGGTGTGGGAGCCTTGAAGCAGGCAGGTTGGGGCTGCAGAAGAGAGAGAGAGAGAGAGAGAGATGGACCAGCGACTGGGTCACCAGGATGGAGCCATCAGTTCTCTCTACCCGTGACCCTGAGTCCTTATACCCATTACCCTCTTTAATCCTTAAAAGAGCCCATGAGACAGGGAATGTAAGTGCAACCATGTTGCAGAAGAGCCTAAAGCTGGATCTGAGAAGAATTAAAGTCCCTACACTCTGAAGCAGGAACCCTCCAGCCCAGCTACTGACCAGCCTATCCCCATTCCCACGCCCCATGGCTTCCTGAGGTCAGCAGCTGGGGGTAGGGGTGGTCCAGTTCTCGGAGCCCCCAGGGACTGGGAAGGCAGGGGGCCCAGGCAAGCCTTGCTGGGAAAGCTGAGTTCTGGATCCCAAGTCCTCATGGCAACTAGACACAAACACAGGTTGGTGGGCGGGTTGGGAGAAGGCTTGGGACCCCGCCTCTCCTGTCTCATTGCCAGAGATGGGGCCTGTGAGGCCTAGGGGGAGTGTAGACTTTTGGTGGCGACTCCCCCCCACACCACTATGTACACACACTGGTGCCTGACACTGAACCCATGTAAGTGCAGTGGCAGCCATCCTCAGAGTGGGCATCTTCTCCATCCCCACATGACAGAGGGGACTGAGGTTCAGAGAGGTAGGCAAGAGACTTCCTCAAGCTTTATAGTACCCATTGAGGCAGGGCTGGCCCTACGATGCTTGGACTAGAGGGCCCTAGGCCCCTGCCCTGTAGTCACTGCTTGCCTAGGCTCTGGAGTCAGGTGTGCCAGCAAGGACATTAATATCTGCATGTGACCTGAGGGAGGCCTTCCCAGGAGGAGGAGGGATGTGTTTGTCCCATTGCACAAGGAGAGTGCTAAGGCTGAGAAGTGCCATTTACTATTCAGGAATGTGCACTTTCTTTTTGGTCAAATTTTTATTTAAATTCTAGTTAGTTAACATATAGTGTAATACTGGTTTCAGGAGTAGAATTTAATCACTTACATATAACACCCGGTGCTCGCTCATCATAACAAGTGCCCTCCTAATACCCATCACCCATTTAGCCCACTCCCTACCCACCTCCCTCCATCAACACTCAGTTTGAGGAATGTACATATTTTGAAGCTCTTTGAGAGAGGATCCTAGGGACAGCTGTGATGAAGGGAAGAGGGTTTGAATGAGGACACCTGGTAAACTCTCAAACTTCCCCAGCTGGCTAGGGCCTGGCCCCTGTCCCGCCCTAGCCCCTCAGGCTTCTGGGACCATCCTTTAACTGCTGTTCCTCCCACTCTGCCCCACTTCTGGAGCCCAGGGGCACCAGGGAATGCTTTGCTCCTCTTTGTTGGGCCTTGGAGGGGTGCCGACTCCATACTGGGGAAGAGAAAAGACATGGAGGCCAGATTACCATGAGGTCCCAGTCATTACCTTGAGGTTCTAGTTCTCATGCCTGGCCTCTGACCCCTTCTTTCCCAGTGCTCCTCTACTCAGGCTGGAGCCCCCATGCTACTTTCCAAAGGGCTAGTCTGGGCATTGGTTGGGCATGAGGCTTACTCTGGGCTTCAGTTTCTGCATCTGTGCAGCCAGCCCATAGCCCGCTGGGCTCTGTCCCCCAGATCTTCCAGGGCCCTGAAGGCAGCCTCCCCACCCCCACCCTGAGCAGGAATGCGGGAGGGGCCCCACTCTGGAGCCGTTGCCCCCAAACATAGGCTTGTTTTAGAGACGCGTTGCTGTTACAGTGTCATCTCTGCATTAGTCAGGACGCCTGGGTCTCCATGGAAACAACTGCTGAGCAGGCGACAGCTGTCTGGGTGCCCCCCTGACTGGTGGGGGCAGGGCATTGTCCTGGCTCTGCCTTATACCCTCCATACCCCACCAGGGTTGGCTTTTTCCTACCTTTTGTCTACTCACCTGTAGTCCTTATGAGTGTCCTATGTGCTCGGTGGCAGGCTTAGGTCACTTCTGTGTCCTCCTGGCTTCAGGTCCCCTGACTTTCAGGGGTTGGGTCTGCCACTCCCAGTGTTACTGTGAGGATTAGTGACTAAAGTAGACTCAGAACTTGCCGATAAGCCTGGTCCCAGATGGGGGCTGTGGTGCTGTTTTTTCCCCTCCTCTTACTACCTTTTCTTTTGGGGTGGGGGAGACCTCACATGGTCCCACTAGCTCCCCTACCCAGGTAGCTAAGATTGTAGCTGGTACCCTGAGGACTCAGCTCCTGTCCAGTCATGCACACAGCCTTGGATGCACACCCCAGCGTATGAATGGCTGGCCAGTCTCCCAGCCAGGGAAACAATCAGTTCAGAGACTGGAGCCCTGGGAGGAGCAAGAAACAGGAGAGTGTTGCTCTGAGAGCCTTTTCCCCACCACCCACTTTGGCCAGAGCAGACTGGGTACATTGGCCCTGTGAGGCTGGGGGCTTCCTGGAGAAGGTGGAGTTTGACTAGATGAAGTGAGGAAGATGGTGGGCATGGGGTAACGTCCAGAAATGGGTGTTTTAAGCCTCAGCTTAAAGAGGGGTTTTCCCAGCATAGCTGAGAGAAGCCTGGGGGACAGTCAGAGATCTCTGCGGTCAGACCTCCCATAGAGGCCGGTGAGAAGTGGGGTGTTGTGTACAGGATGGGGTGGGCTCAGGACCCAGAAGGCCTTGGATCCACACTTGGCCCGCAGCCTCCCTGACCCCCACCTTCCCCAGGAGATGGAGTTCTACATGCGGACCTTCAGTCATGTGCGCCCAGAACCACCTGGCCAGGCCAGGCCTGCCGCAGTGAATGCCAAGTGAGTGCAACCTGGGCACGTGCCACCTGAACATCTCTCATTGGCATGGCATGGACATCTGAGGTGGGAGAAAAGGGGTAGGCCAAGGCCAAAGTATAGGTCTGGGTCCAGCCTGGCATGCCCTTGGACAAATCAATGCCCCTTTCTGGTGCTAGGAAGGGTGGCTTATTTCAGAACATCCAGTGGGGTGGAATTTGAGGAAACAATGGGCATCCAGCACTTACCCTTCCACTTCCCCTTAGTCTTTCTCAATTCCTTGCCACCCGAGGCCAAGTGGAGCCCCCCCAGCCCTCCTCCCCAGAGACTCATGCTCTGCCTCCCGGGATCCGACCCCAGGTAAGGGAGACTGTGCTGGGCCCACAAGGAAGGGTATGGGAAAGAAGCCTCTACCCTGCCCCACTACTTTGCTTCTTTGGGTGAAGCAGGGTTTGGGGAAGGGGCACTCAGGTTCCCCATGTCTCTGCAGAAAAAGGGGAAGCGGCGTGTGTATAAGGTGCCAACCTCTGGGACCTTGGATCTGGAATCGCCGCTGCCCAGGTTGTCTGGTGAGCACCCCTTTCTGACCAGATCCTGAGCTCCTAGAGAAGGAAAGGTAGGGCCCTGAGAGTGTCACAGCCCCAAGTTTCACATTTTTCCTCCATCCCTGCAGGGCCCCGCGGCCCGGGTCGCCGCTGCAGCTCACCATCAGATTCCCCGGGCGCCAGCCCAGTGCATGCCGCTGGGCCTGCAGGCACCTACCACTCGGCATCAGCCGAGTCCATGGACGAGATTCCAGTGGCGCAGACACGCCTGGGCAGCGCAGCTCTGGCCACCCCTGGGGGCAGGGGCCAAGAGCCGGGGCTGGCGCTGCAGGTGCGTGCGCCTGCTGTTTTCGTGAGCCCCAGCAGCGGCGAGCTGGGGGCGCGGGGCGGTCCAGAGACCAGCCTGCCTTAGCAGGGTGGAGAGAGGCAGGAGGGCCGAGGAGGACCGGCCAGCCCGACTCTCTATGCAACACCTCCACTCTTGCTGCACCGAGTGCACTTTAGAGGCCCCTACGGCCAGCGGGATGGGTCCCCTTCTCCCATGATTCAGCAATACCCAACCCCCCACCGGCCATGATGCTCCAATAAACTTTTTTTTTTTATGCTTTTGCGGACTTAGTGCATACTTCTTAATGGCAAGGGCCACAGGCCCTCATGGAGCTGAACCCTTGCCATTCGGTCTAGGGACAGAGGGAAAGAGGGTGGGGTGAGCCACCCAGATTGTCATATAGAGGTACACGTGGACATAAGGTGCTCCGGTACAGCCCCCCCCCCCCCCCCCCCCCCCCGCCAATTTTTAGCTTAGGAAACCAACTGGGCTAACATCCAAGGGACCCAAAGTGCTATAGGAAACTGAGATTCCCCTTTTTAAGGGCTACCCCCCCCCCCCCCCCGCCGTTGTGAAAAGTCCTGGAAGGCTGCCTGGAGGAGGTTATTTGTCTTGAAAATAGGGTTTATATTTGAAAGAGAAAGCAGGCTTTGGGATTCGGAGGCAGGGGAGGGGGGAAAAGACTGCAAGGCCGACACACTGGAGTGGGGTGGGAATAGGGGAGTCCGCGGACCCCAGAAGTCTTTAAACTTCCTGCTGTTGGGATTGCTGTCGGTGTACCAGGATTCTGGGCCTGGGCATTCGTGATTAGCGCATTGTTCCCTCCTGCTCCCAGTGCTCTTGAGTTGTGGCATGGGGCTGCCACACGTAAACTGGAGAGCTATGGCCTTGAGACAGCTCTAGACCCGACCGTCTGAGAAGAAGGACCTTCTCGCTCTTCAGCCCGTCCCCTTCCCCTCCCCCCACTTTACTCTGGCTCCCGCTCCTGTTCCCAAACGGCCTTCGGTTGCCGCTCTGGGAATCTTCATCTTCCCTATGGAGGTGGGGGCCTGCTTTGAACTTTGGGCAAAGCCCCAGATGAAGCTGTTTTCCCGTTAGGGGGTCATCCGAGGACGTCCGGAGCTGCAGAGGGCTGGTCTCCAACGGCGTGAAGGCCGTGAAGCTGCCCTGCGAGCTGCGGGGATAATGAGATCGCAGCAGCTCCGCCCCCGCGGAGCAGAGAGGGGGCGGGGTCCGGTGGGTGTGGCCAGCGTGACCTTGGTCATTCTCCCGCTGAGACAGCCCCAGGGGTGGGACTCCGTCTCTATGGAGACCGAGAAACAGGGGATAATACTGCGGAACCGCCCAGGCTGCAGTCCCTCCCTGAAGCCGGCAGGGAGCAGAGCTGCGGAGCCGCCTGGTCTCCCGCGTCTGTCGGTCCATTCTTGCGTCTTTCTGGTCTTTCTGTCCATCGAACGAGCACGGTAGGAGCAACCACGAGGTAGAAGCAGGTAAGAGACTAGAGCGCCGACCACTCTAATCAGTATCCTGCACGATAAGGAAGGGGGTGGGGTGGGAGCGCCCTGGAAGGGGTCCCAACCCCAGATGGTACCTAACCGAGGACACCAACTGAGCAGCCCTGCCCTGGGCCCCAAGCGGTCCTCCCCCACCTCCTTGCCCTGCTGATTGATGACTCCAGCTGTCCCAGTGGGAGTCAGCGGGTGGCCCCAGTTCTTGGGCGTGGTCACTCCATCCTTGGCCTACATGTAGACTCCTGGGACTACAGCCTGCGACCTAGCTCCACCTGATCAGTACCAAGAATCCTTCTTCCCATAACAGGAGTGAGCACTGGATGCAGGATCCTGCCACTCATCTGGGACAAGCATTGGTGCCCCAAAACCTTCCCCAGACTTTACAGTTGGGTGGGGTCTCTGGATACGTAATGGGAGGTTGCAGTGCAGACAGAGGGAAGAAGAGTGCTGTGTGGACTGGGACTGGGATTGTCACGACAATGTAGGGACGGTGGAGTCCCAGAAATTGCAACTTAGGGATAGTGAGGATGGTCACTGGGAGAGGGCTTTCAGTGTTAAGGCCAGTGGTAAATGGAAGGGGGTGTAGTTCTGGAGGAGCCCAGGCTGTGGTCACTGGAGGCCTTAGGATAAAAGGCAGAGGTAGATGATGTGTGCTGAGGACATGACTGAGGGTGTGTTCAGGAGGCTGCAGTGGAGGTTTGGGATATGTTTGGGGAATCTCAACATGGGGTGTCTCAGTATAGAACCTGGGAGTCTGGAAATGCAAGTCTGTGGGTTTGGACACTGTGGGGTTTCAGGGCAGGGTTGAGCATGAGACCAGAAGGCTGTGGCTGTGTGGACAAGGGTGGATGTAAGGATGTGGTCAGAGGCTACAGGTGTATGGAGAGGGGGTGAGTTGTGAAGCTCTGCTTAGGGGGCTCAGTAAGGGCTGTGGGTATGTGGATAGGGGGTCTTAATCCTAGGGCTGGGGGGTGAGTGGATGGGGGCAGCTGCAGTGGAGGGCTGAAGGTGTGGTCAAAGAGGCCTCAGTATGGGCTGTGTCACATGTCACAGCTGCAGTGCAGGGCTGTAGGTGTGGTCAGGGGGCTGCAGGGGGGGCTGTGGGGGTGTAGGAGAACACTTTATTGCAGGGCTGAGAGTAATACTGGTGGGTCTCTCTACAGGGCTGTTAGTGTCTGTGTGGAGGTGGGTGCTGAGGAAATGGTCTGGGGCCTTAGTCCCAGCACTGGTTAAGGGTGTGGTCAGGGGAATAAGGCCGAGAATGTGGAGAGCCAAGGCTAAGTGCACTCAGCTGTGGGAGTGTGGACTGGTGTGACAGTGCTCAGGGTGTGGCCAGGGGCTTCCATGGAAGAATGAAGGTTACACACTGGGGAAGTGTGCTTCACTATAGGGTGTAGGAGTGAGGATTACAGGACCAAGGCCATAGTTGTAATTGCCAATATGCCTCTGGAGGCTCATAACTCTACAACCCCACCTGCTCTTCTTAAACTCTACATGCTGGGAGGTTACAGCCCCAAATGGATGGCAAGGGACCAGGAGGCCACGGTTGTGCCCCAGGCGCTGGGAGTGCTGCTGTGCCCCACCCGTGGGCCCTTGTTCCCTAGCCCAGCCCAGCCCAGCCCAGCAACACTGGGAGCTTCTCCCCGAGCCGCCCTGACACTATCCTACCCTTAGCAACATTCTCCAAGCAGCACTACCCTCCCTTAGCAACTGTCTCCAGGCTTCACAAACTGTGGCCAGGCCAGCCCCAAACTCCCGCTCCCCTCATGTTTTTGTTTAACAGCAAATAGTAACAAGGTCTTGGCTGGGCTAGCTGCACCCTTGCCTAGGGCATGCACCCCTGCTCATGATCTGGCTCCCTTCTCAACCTGGACTGGGTCTTTCTGGGTCCTCATGACCCTGACAGAGACCCTGTTCTCACTAAATACCTGCCCAACCAGCAGCCTGGCTTGGCCCTGACCTAACTTGGCATGGAACTCCAGGGGGGAGGGGGGCTGCTCTGCCACCCTCACTTCCACCCAAGCAGGCCTTGTGCCAGGGTCAGACAAAGCCATGGCCCCAGCTGCTGCCCTCACAGTCTTTCGGGACAGTGCCACTCTGTTCCCAGCCTCGTGTGGGCATCATGATTTCATCTTCTGAATGCCATTCTAAGCCAGGGCTGGCATTAAGTGACAGGACCTTTCCTCTCAGGGCTTCTCCTTGGGGCTCTGAGGCCCAGGGACACACTGAGTGCTGGCCCCTCTCCCCAGGCAACTCCATCTCCAGCTCTGAGGGTATGTGGCATAAGTGCCCATAACTCAGACCTTGGTAGGTTTTGAGGTAGAGGCAGTGATGTTCTCTGCTTTGGGGAGAGGAGGGGCAGCTTGGCTGGAAGGTGACTGAGGTGGGTCCCCCCTACAGGGTAGCATGGCAGCAAGCACAGATGTGGCTGGGCTGGAGGAAAGCTTCCGCAAGTTTGCCATCCATGGTGACCCCAAGGCCAGTGGGCAAGAGATGAATGGCAAGAACTGGGCCAAGCTGTGCAAGGACTGCAAGGTGGCTGACGGAAAGGCCGTGACAGGGACCGACGTCGACATCGTCTTCTCCAAAGTCAAGTGAGCCCGAGGCAGTCTTTGCTTCTGATGTTCCCAGAAGGTGGGGAAATGGGGGGCTGGAACCAGGGAAGACATAGAGAAGGGGGAAAACTCATGGTGTCCACAAACCTTGCAGGGGAAAGTCTGCTCGTGTTATCAACTATGAGGAGTTCAAGAAGGCTCTAGAAGAGCTGGCAACAAAGCGATTCAAGGGGAAGAGTAAAGAGGAAGCCTTCGATGCCATCTGCCAGCTGGTGGCGGGCAAGGAACCAGCAAATGTGGGCGTCACTGTAAGTACCCTGCTGGTCTCGGGTGGCCATTGAGGGGGATATGGGGAATCACAGCTGGGGGTGGGGGGCCGGGATTCCTAACCCCAGGTGCCCCTGGGGGAACAACTCTGTCCAAACAGAAAGCAAAGACAGGAGGTGCTGTGGAACGGCTGACTGACACCAGCAAGTACACAGGCTCCCACAAGGAGCGCTTCGACGAGAGCGGCAAGGGCAAGGGCATTGCTGGGCGTCAGGACATCCTGGATGACAGTGGCTATGTGAGTGCCTACAAGAACGCAGGCACCTATGATGCGAAGGTGAAGAAGTGAAGCCTGGGAAGGCTGCCAGCATGGCTGCCTCCAGCATAGGCTCAGGCCTGGGCCTAAAGGGCACGGGGAGCAAGAGAGCCTTGTCCCTTCCCTGCTGGACCTGCCACCACCCAGCGCTTCCTGCCCAGCCCCAAGGGCTAGCCCACCAGGCCTCTGACCCAGACTGCTCTGCATCCCCTTCCCCTTCCCTCCCTGACTTCCGGCTGTCTGGGGAGGGTCTGTGCCTGTAGCCTCACTGCCCCAACCTAGCCCTGGGCATGGCTAACCCCTGTGTGCTTGCCTCATATTTAAGCTGTTGCTCTGGCCAAGTGCCTAATTCTTACCCAGACCTCAATAAAGATACGTTTTGTACCAATATGACCTGGTCAGGTATATGGTAATGGGGATAAAGACATTTATACCCCATTGACCTCTCAGTGTTACCACCCGCTTGCAGGTCACACACTGCTGATCTTTCCACTGGCAGCCCTGCCCAGAAAAAAACACACACCAGGTCTCTTCCATTAGCACAGACGCAGACTACCTGAGGATGCTTTTTAGGGAAATCTAAGGCCTTTCACCTCAGCCCTAACCCACAATCCTAGCATCACAACTTGCTATCCTG